ATCATTATATGCAATATTAATATAATTTCTATTAAGTTTAAATAAATTAATTAATATTATTTAATAAATAAAATAAAATATAAATAAAATTATTTACTTATAAATTTCTCTTTCTTTATGTGCCCATTTAATATGTTTATGCTATTCTAATACTTTATTTTCTTTTTCTTCAATTGTTCAATAATTTGCATTAAATCACATATCTTTACATTTTAAACATAAATCACTTCTAGGAGTTAATTTTTTGATATGTGGTAAAAATTTTTTCCAAATTTTGTTAAATATTGTATAACAAACTTCATATTTATCATTATTTTCAGTTGTTTCTAAATATTGAATATGTAAAGATAAATAAGTTGTATCTGCTGATAAATATATAATAGTACTAGTATTATCACGAAAACTTCATCCTATAAAATTTATATAAATTAATAAAAATATTTAATTAAAATTAATTTAATAATTATAATATCTGGAGATAGTAAACCATTTTGTTTTGCATAATTTGTTATAAAAGTAATAATTCTTATTACTGTTTCAAATGATATTGTCCGATTTCCTATTTTATTTATTTTAGAATTTTTTCTTAAATTTATATCATTTTCTCCAAAATGTTCTCTTAAATTTTTCTATTTTTTGTTTCCAAGTCTATAGATTGTTTTAAAAGCATTAAAACAAATTGATTTTCCTTCAAAAATATATTCTGTAGAAAGCTTGTTTTTTTTAAATTTCTAACTACTTCAGGTCATTTAGTAGCAGAAATAATACCTAATAAATATATATCTTGAAAAAATTTAGAAAGTTTTTTGAAATTTAAATGTTTTAATAAAGCTATTGAATAATCACATTGAGTTTGTAAACAATTTTTTTCACAACATTCTTTATCAAAAGATTCTTTGAATTCATTATTTTGTAATAAATTAATTTCATCATCTAAATTTTAATTATTATCTTCTTGTTCTTTTAAAATATCTTTTGTTTTATAATATAATATTTTAAATTTAGAAATTTCTTCTTTAGTCAAAGTTTCATTTTCTAAAAGATTATTTTCTGAAATTTCTTGAATTTCAGAATTATCTAATAAAGATAAATTATTTTCTTCATCTAAATATTGAAATTGCAAATTTGAAAGATCAGTTTGCAATTGAGTATTTTCTTTATGAGTTTCTTCAAAAATACTTTTGTTTAAAAAAAAATTGGTCATTTTTGTAAAATAAAATTTAAATTTTAAGTAAAATTAAATTTAAATAATTTTAAATAAAATATTCTATATTTATATATTTGAAATATCAAAAATATACAAAATTTAACTATAAAATACATAAGCAAATAAAGATAAGATACCATAGTGTTTCAAATATATTATGTAATCAAAAGAACAATATGTACAACTAATTAAAAACAATTTATTATGTAATCAAAAGAACAATACAACTAATTAAAAAAAAATTATTGCAGTTTCTATAAATGTACATAATATAAAAAAATTCTATTGTTTCATATCTTAATAATCATTCAATCATACAATATTATACAAAAAATATGTATATTTATTTCATTCTATATATCAAAGACAATTATATAATATAAACTTTATTTATTATAAAATTCAATACATATGTAAAGAAAAAAACATGATCACAAGAAAATTCATCAATCGAAAATCACTTTTGGCATTTTACTGGAGAACCTTCTTGTAGTCCTCTAGGCCAAAGACCACAAGAAATTTCACCAATAAAACATCGAAAGTCCCAAAAACAGTTTAAATGCAGAAAAACCCAAAGAGCACATCAGTGAAATGCCAAAAGATAAGAATAAAATTAGAAAACCTGTGAGACTAAAGAAAATTAGTAAGCCGGAAGGACAGAAAAAAAAATCAACACAATTAAGATTATCAAAAAAGCCGGAAGACCAGAGAAGATCACAAGAAATTTTACCAAAAATCATCGAAAGACAAAGAAAATTAATTAATTAGTAAAATCTGGAAAAATAGAAAATAAACCAACAACACAATTAAATTACCAGAAGCCAGAATATTAGAGGAAACCACAAGAAATTTCACCAGAAATCGCCAAAAGGCCTAAAGACATAAAATTAATTAGCAAAATTCGGATAAACAGAAAAAAAAACTAACAACATAATTAAACCTACCAGAAAAGCCGAGAGACCACAAGAAATTTCACCAAAAATTGTCGAAAAACCTAAAGACAGAAAATTAATTAGTAAAATCCGAAAAAACAGAAAAAAAACCAATTAAAATTAGCAAAAAACCGGAATACTAAGAGAGATCACAAGAAATTTCACCAGAAATGCCAAAAAACCTAAAGACAAAGAAAATTAATTAGTAAAATCCAGATAACAGAAAAAAACCAACAACATAATTAAACCTATCAGAAAAGCCGGGAGACTACAAGAAATTTCACCGAAAAACCTAAAGACAGAAAATTAATTAGTAAACTCCAGATAAACAGAAAAAAAACCAACTACATAATTAAACCTACCAGAAAAGCCAGAAGACCACAAGAAATTTCACCAAAAATTGTCAAAAAACCTAAAGACAGAAAATTAATTAGTAAAATCTGAAAGAACAGAAAAAAAACCAATTAAAATTAGCAGAAAATCGGAATACCAAGAGAGACCACAAGAAATTTCACCAGAAATGCCGAAAGATCTAAAGATAAAGAAAATTAATTAGTAAAATCTGGATAAACAAAAAAAAAACAACAACATAATTAAATCTACCAGAAAAGCTGGGAGACCACAAGAAATTTCACTGAAAAACCTAAAGACAGAAAATTAATTAGTAAAATCTGGATAAACAGAAAAAAAACCAACAACATAATTAAACCTACCAGAAAAGCCAGGAGACTACAAGAAATTTCACCAAAAATCATCGAAAAACCTAAAGACAGAAAATTAATTAGTAAAATTTGAAAGAACCCCAACAATACAATTAAAATTAGCGGAAAACTGAAATACCAAGAGAGACTACAAGAAATTTCACCAGAAATGCCGAATGACCTAAAGACAAAGAAAATTAATTAGTAAAATCTGGATAAACAGAAAAAAAAACCAACAACATAATTAAATATATCAGAAAAGCCAGAAAACCAGGAGAGACCACAAGAAATTTCACCAAAAATCATCAAAAAACCTAAAGACAGAAAATTAATTAGTAAAATCCGAAAGAACAAAAAAAACCCCTAACAACGCAATTAAAATTAACAGAAAGCCAGAATACCAAGAGAGACTACAAGAAATTTCACCAGAAATCGCCGAATGACCTAAAAAAAAGAAAATTAATTAGTAAAATCCAGAAAACCAGAAAAAAACTAACACAACTAAAATTACCAAAAAAGCTGAAGACTACAAGAAATTTCACTAAAAATTGTCAAAAAACCTGAAGACAGAAAATTAATTAGTAAAATTCAGAAGAACAGAAAAAACCACCCAACAACACAATTAAACTTATCAAAAAGCCAGAATACTAGGGGAGACTACAAGAAATTTCATCAGAATTCATCGAAAGACCTGAAGACAATGAAAATTAGTAAAATCCAGAAGTACAGGAAAAAAAACAAACAATAAAATTGCCGGAAAGCCAGAAGACCAGGGAAGACTACAAGAAATTTCAGCAGAAATCGCTGAAAACCCTAAAGACAATGAACTTCCTTCATAATAATAAAAATTTTTAAATACTTTGTTTCATAGATCAGCATCACAAGTCTCTTCTATCATTTAAACAAACTCGCTGCCACATTTGCAAGAATTTCATGAGAACAGAAAAAAAAGCCAACACAATTAAAATTACCAAAAAAGTGAAAGACCACAAGAAATTTCACCAAAACTCACTGAAAGGCCTAAAAACAGAAAATTAATTAGTAAAATCCGAAAGAACAGAAAAAAACAATTAAAATTATCAATAAGCTGGAAGACTAGAGGAGACCACAAGAAGTTTCACCAGAAAATCGTTGAAAATATAATTAAAATCGGAAGACTGAGAGAGAGACTAGAGAGGGAGACCACAAGAAATTTCACCAGAAAATTGCCGAAAGACCTGAAGATAAAGAAATTCGTTAGTATAATGCCAAAAGAAAAAAAAAAAACAACAATAAACTAAAAAAAAAATCAAAAATGCTAAAATCAGAAAACCCAACTTAATAAACTTTGTATTTAAGAAAAGAATTTGTGTTTAAACAAAGACTTTGTAGTTAGCATTAGATGTTACTTTAACTTTTCAAAGATCTACATTTCTAGAATTTTTTATTAGATTCTCAAAGATCCATACATCATTAATTTCTATTTTTAGATTTTTATAACGGTTTTAGTTTTTTGTGTCTTACCGATTTTCTTATTATGTAATGTGTACTTGTGACTTATAGTAAATCTTTTCTTTGAATACATATTTATTAAAAAATAAAATAAATAAAAAAAATTTTAAAAATGTAAAAATGGTCCCTTTTTATACGAGACACCCCATTTAATAAAAACTTATTCTGAGTAATATATTTATTAATTTATTTAAAAAATAGTTTATACAAACATCAAATAATAAAATATATAATAAAATAAAATTAATAGATATTTATAATTTAAAGAAATCTATATTCTTTAAAATTTTTATTAATAAAAAACAATAAATCTTTAATTTTAAATCATCTTTTAGGTTTATTATTATTATATTTCTCATTCTACTAAAAAGTCTTAATATTAAAAGCTTTTAATTGATCATCTCTTGCTAACTTTACTTTATAGTTAACCAAAGTAGTTGAATTAAGAAAAGCTTATGAAACAATCTGAAATACAGTTGGCTTTTTTTTAAAAAACAAGTTGCAGCTATCTAATTTTCTTTAAAAAAATGTAAATATTTATATCTAAGCTGTTCAGATGTTGCAACTAAATAAATCATTTTATTAAACTGTTTAAAATTCAAAAATTTATTAATATAATTTTTAAAAAGTTTTTTTAAAACAGTAGCCATTGTAATTTGTAAATTAAAATAGAATTTTTTTTGTTATTATATATAAAATATTAGTAGTTAAATAAAAAATCTTATCAAAATTAATATTTTTAATTAAAATAATTTTTTTTTTTTTTGGTATTAAGGTGACCTCTTTAGTCTTTTGACTTTTATTAATTACTTATTAGTATTGTGGTTCGATAAACCACTACAGGAGAGCATACAATTGGCTACATGTATAACTTTTCTATATTACCTATTTAAAAAGTCCACCTAAAGGTTTCTTACTAATTGCTATACCTAATACCTCTGCTTGGATGTTCTATTTTAAACCCTCTGAACCTGTAATCTGTATTAATATTACTAAGTTATCTCAGATGCCTAGATCATTGTCTCAACCTTAGAACTAATTTATTCTTGAGGTAAACCTCCAGAGCCTTCTGTACCCATTTTTATAGCTGACCTAGGTATCGCTATGGCAGAACCAACACTTGCAGTTAGGGCTAATCATTAAACTGCTATGCCCTTGTAGAGTTCACACAAACCCCAATATCTACTTCACAGCATATCCAAAATACTTTAGTATACCTCTGTCGGTTTACCAAACTCCCAATCCAGATAGCCCAGTAAGACTTATAACCAGTCTATTGGTATATCAGATTAGCTCAATATCTTTTTTCTCTGGTTTGATCCAGCAGCTCAGTTGGTGGTACCCTCCACCTAGAGGTTTTTGTCTGTCTGGCTACTTTGGCCTTGGTATCAATTTTATAAGGCTAGCCTTTACAGTAGGGCCACCAAAGATCTGGCTACCTTTCTACTTAGATCTTTCCAAATAGGCTTCTTGTTATCCAATTTCAATAGATTTATATAACTACAAGGACTTATCTAGTGTTTGTAGCACCTATTGCCAGTTTGCATTCCTTCATATAACTACAACCTTGTCTCAAAGAACAATGTCATGTGACCTGTTACATGAATGCCCCATGACCTACCAGTCATGCTGGTGTGACCACCATTACAGGTATCCTAACCCAATCATTAGTAACAGTTG